GATCTACAACTGTTATTATTATTATTATTCAGAGCTGATCTAGAACCATAGTGGCTCAAAATACGGTGATCGAGAATCACAACAATCCAGAACAATTATTATCTAGAACCCTTATTAGTCAGATTATACAGAAACTTGCTGGTCTAGAACCATGATGATCTACAACTGTTATTATTATTATTATTCAGAGCTGATCTGGACCCATAGTGGCTCAAAATACGGTGATCGAGAATCACAACAATCCAGAGCAATTATTATCTAGAACCGTTATTATTCAGAGTATACAGAAACATGCTGGTCTAGAACCACGATTATCCACAACTGTTATTATTATTATTCAGAGCTAATCTGGAACCATAGTGACTCAAAACAGGGTGATCGAGAATCATAACAATCCAGAACCAGCCATAATAACCCAGAACTGTGATGATCTACAACTGTTATTATTCTGAGTCATAATCATTCAGAATTATGCTAATTTAGAACCATAATGACTCAAAAATATGGTGATCAAGAATCAAAACAATCCAGAATAATGATTATCTATAACTGTTATTATTTATATTATACAGAAACATGCTGGTCTAGAACCACGATGAACTACAAATGTTATTATTGTTCATAGCTGAATAATAATAACTCCAACATGTTTTGATTCTAATATAGAACCATAATGACTCCAAGCATGGTGATTGAGAACCATAATAATCCTAATTCATGCTGATCTAGAACCTTAATAACGCAAAAACGTGGTGGTTAACAATCATAGTAATCAAGAATATTCTGGTCTAGAACCTAAATGTCTGAATGTGGTAATTGAGAACCATATTAATCCAGAATCATGATGATCTAGAACTGTTATTATTCAAAGCCATAATAATTCAGAATCATGCTGATCTAGAGCCTTAATAACTTAAGCCTTAAAAGCTCTATCTTCAGAACTTAAGAAATGCCCAATTCCACCTTCAGACCTCAGACCTGTTATAAACACTTATATTTATAAGAAATGGCAAGCTGAATGGGATAAATGTACAACAAATAAACTATACAAAATCGATCCTGTAGTTGCTGTAAAACGTTGTGCCCACTTTGAAAATCGATGGGATCATATTGTCTACACTAGCTGTCGAATAGGACATTCCAGACTAACCCATAGTTTTCTGTTGGCGGGTGAAGATCCTCCTTTATGTTCTTTATGCCAGAATCCATTATCTTTGAAGCATATTTTTATGGATTGTAATAGTTTAAAGTCTGTCAGAACTCATTTTTCTGTTGACTTTTCTGGAAAGATTTTTAATGAAGTAAGGCCAGATTTTGTTTTAGAATTTTTATCTAAGATCAAATTGTAAAACTTAATTTAACTTAACTAACCTCGTTCTCGCCATGAATATAGCCGAGGTAGCTTGCATGGTGTTAAATCATAAACAAACAAACAAACTTAAGCTTTAATGTGGTGATTGAGAATCATAATAGTCCAGAATCATGATCATCGAGAACTGTTATTATTATTATTATTCAGAGCCATAATTATTATGCTAGTATAAAACCATAATGTCTCAAAACATGGTTTTCATCATAATCCACAACTACAGTCATAATAATCCAGAACCACGATGATCTAAAACCCTGACTCAAAACATTAATTTTCTTTTATTTTTCAGAGTCATAATATCCAGAATCATGCAGATTTAGAACCATAATGACTCAAAAATATGGTGATTGAGAACCATAATAATCCAGAATCATGTTGCTTTAGAACTGTTATTATTCAGGGTCATAATAATCCAAAATCATGCTGATCTAGAACCTTAATAACTCAAAAACATGGTGATTGCGAATCATAATAGTCCAGAACCATAATAATCTAGAACTATTATTGTTCAGAGCCATAATTATTATTCTAATATAGAACCATAATGACTCCAAGCATGGTGATTGAGAACCATAATAATCCTAATTCATGCTGATCTAGAACCTTAATAACGCAAAAACGTGGTGGTTAACAATCATAGTAATCAAGAATATTCTGGTCTAGAACCTAAATGTCTGAATGTGGTAATTGAGAACCATATTAATCCAGAATCATGATGATCTAGAACTGTTATTATTCAAAGCCATAATAATTCAGAATCATGCTGATCTAGAGCCTTAATGACTCAGAAACATGGTGATTATAATCAAGAATAATAAACCAGAATTACGGTGATCTACAACTGTTATTCAGAGCCATAATTATGCTTAGAACCATAATGACTCAAAACATGGTGATTGAGAACCGTAATAATCAAAACAAATGCTGATCTAGAGCCTCTACAGCTAAAAAAAGATGATCAAGAGCCATAATAATCTAGAATCATGTTGATTTAAAATAGTTACTATTAAGAGTCATAACAATCCAAAATCATGCTGATCTAGAGCCTTAACTCGAACACATGATCAAGAATCATAATAATCCACAGCCACAGTGATCTAGAACTGTATTATTCAGAGACATAATAATCCAGAATATGCTGGTCTAGAACCTTAATGCCTCAAAAAATGTGGTGATCATTATAATAATCAATAATGATGATCTAGAACTTTAACCGTTCATAACATAATGATTGTATTATATTCATGTTGAATTAATCAATTATGACAGTAATGGAAAATTGGTCTGCTTGAAACTTGTAATTCTGCATGTTTTGCCTGTGACGGACAACACCAAAGCTAGTTTCATGCATTCATTTAGGGTTTTATCTGTATGATGGATTATGAATCAGTCTTAATTATATGATTAATCATGATTGATATCATTCTCCCAAGCCGGTTCGTGTGTTCGCGAGAGCGGTTTGATTCACTAACCTGTGTTACCTGTTTTCATTCTCATGCATCACACTGCTTCTCTGCACATGCATAACAGAGGACAGAGGAAATAAAAATGTATTAAAAGCTTTACAGACATATTTAAAAATAAAAAAACTTTAATTAAAATAAAAATGAATTTAAACTATTTATATACAGACATATATATATATATATATATATATATATACTAAATTAATACAGAAGCGCATGCTGCTGAAGTTTCTGCTGAATGATTGCTCAGTTTGGGTTTGTTCTGGTTGTAAATGACTCCGTATCGTCTGTCTTACAGGAAACACCCCTCTTCATCTGGCCGTTATGATGGGTCATAAAGGTGAGTCGCCCGCTTCTGATACACCCGAATGTGAGTGTGAGTGTGAGTGTGAGTGTGAGAGTGAGAGTGAGAGTGAGAGTGAGAGTGAGTGTGTGAGTGTGAGTGTGAGTGTGTGTGTGAGAGTGAGTGTGTGAGTGAGTGTGTGTGTGAGGAGTGTGTGTGTGAGAGAGTGAGTGTGTGTGTGTGTGTGTGTGTGTGAGAGAGTGAGTG